AATTCACCAAACATACATGACCTAAAAATGGAGGTCATATGAAAATGGAGCAAGCCCATCTTTAAGATTTATGGAATGACACAAATGATTATAGCCACCTCATATGACCTAATTATAATATATCTAATGAGCATCGTTCATATTTTCAATAATGTTTCAGCTTTCATTTGTTAATTATATATTTTAGTTAAAAAGTTAAAAAATTAATATAAGTTATTACATTACTTTTTTAACTTTTCATGCACATTTTTTTATAAAAAGTCAAAAAATTAGTAAAATAATTTGTTGCCAAACAAGACTTTAGAAAGGTCAAAAATAATGGTAACGTTTGGTTCCCTTTTAAAATTATAATTTGAATAAAAAAAATTTCAAAACTCATAATTAAACAAAATTTACAAAACTCAATTCAAAAATTATTTTCAAAACTCACAACCAAACTCTTTTCAAAACTCTATTTTTTTAAAAAAAAAAATCAAAATTTTTTATTTTTATTTTGTTCTTTAAAATTATTTTTTATTTTTATTTTTGAAGAAAATATTTTTTATTTTTATTTTTTTGAAAAAAAAAATGGTATTTAGTCTAACATTCCTCTCTAACTTTTAATAATAGAAGAAGTCCACAATATTTTTCTTTATAACCTACGGTCCTCACGCCTATGTATCACACCAACTCTCTCATTCTCTCTCATCTTTCCTTTCTTTTTCTTTTTCACTCTAGGGTTTTAGATCTCTCCACAACAATCATTTCTCTCTCCTCCTCTACTATTATTGTTGTCAAAGATCTATAAGTCACCAGAGCCTACTCAACTTGTTTAAACGTTAGCCCATTGTAGTTCGGGCCTATTGGATTGTGATCGGTCTTTGACAAATCAAAGTCGCTAACCACGCAGTCACGTGGGAATTGTGTAATCGGAGAAACACTCGGGCAGAGAGGCGATCTGTTCATGATGATCTGAATCTGTTCATGACGAAGAAGCAATATGACGAAGAGACGAAATTGACGTAAGCGTAGCCAAGAGCGATTTTTCTAGCTTGATCCCTACAAACCTAAACAGAGCAATTTCAATCAATGAATGGAAAACAGAGATAGGAAATGAACTTTTAAGGGAAGATTATGTGAATGAGGGTTGCTCTGTATATTTGGTTTGTAATTTTCTTTGGTTTGATCAAAACACAAAGAAAATTGTGTGCAAATCAGAGAAATTTCAAACTGGAGAATTTTCAAAGCACTGATAAATTTAGACAAAATTCTCTGTGTTTTGAAATTTCTCTGATTTACTCAATTTCTCTGATTTTTCTCTGTGTTTTCACATTTTATCTGTGTTTTGAAATTTCTCTGGATTGAAATTTCTCTAGATTGAAATTTCTCTGAAAAAATGTTGAGTGACCCTAACTACTATAAAAAAAAATATTGCATATCATTTATTCTATAAAATCTTAATACCAAAGATCTTTAAAAAATTTCAAAAAATATTTTGTTATGTTTTTAAGTATTGGCCAAATAATTTGGTATGATTTAGATACATATGAACGATTCAAAAAAAAATAAAACTTAAAAAAAATTTAAAATATTTTAAATAAATACAGTGTACAAATATAGTAAATACAGCGCACATTAAAAAAATAAAATAAAAATTTACAATAAAAAATATTTACCCTTGAAAAAATAAAAATAAATAAATAAATCCAAAACAATTCAAAATACAATTCAAAACTCTTTTCAAAACTAATAATAAACAAGTTTTCTCTTTTCAAATCTCATTTCAAAAATTTATCTTTTAAAACACAACTCAAAACTCAAACCTCATTTCAAAATAATCAAATGAAACCAATGGTTTTTGAACCTTCACTACGAGAAGGATGCAACTAGGTTGTGAATAAAGGTTTTTCAAAAGTAATTTGGATTTTTTAATTTGTTTTACTTGAGTGTACTTCAAAAGGCTAATTTGGGGTGGGGGGTGGGGGAGGGAATAGGACATATTGAGAATAAATTGTAACCTTAAATAATTCAATAGGATGAACTGAAAAATTGGGTTCATTTAATTATTTTTTGGGTGTAAATAGAATTCTTCCTCTTATTACAGTGTCTGCCGAGGGTTATTTAATTTAACATCTCTTTCCAATTTTTAGTAATAAAAGAGATCTATAACATTTTTTTTTTTTTGGTAGCTTAAGGTCCCTTAGGTTCCTCACTCGTAATAAATAGTGTATTTCTTCTTACAAACATCGACTTTTTTCTCTCTACAACTCCAATGGCGGACAACAACATTGCCACCTCCAAAAATCAAATGCTCATAGGGCGACAAAGCCAAAGAAGAACCAAACACCCTATCGACCTCCGACGAGAAAACCACCTCCGACCTCAAACTCGACTCTCTAGTTATCGATGACACCAAAAAACTCCACAATTTCCTCGACGACCTCGAAGACTCCAACATTAAAGTTGTACTCTCTCTTTCTCTTTCTCTTTCTCTTTGTCTCTCTGTAATTCCTATTTCTAGGTTATGATTTCACATTTGTAGGGTTTTCAATTGATTCCAAGTCACAGCAGGCGATACTTTGTATATATCTACGAAGACATTCGAAGAATTGAATATGTCTGATGACTTGTTGAAAGGCTTATATTTGATGATGGTGTGTTTGAATTTTGTTGTGAATAAGAGGGAAGATGCAAACTCTAATGCTGCTTCGTTTTCTTCTTCTTTGTTAATTCTCATTTCATTTAGCTCTAGCTCAAGTAATTAAATTCTCTGTTTTTGCTTTCTGAGTAGCTCAATTTTTTTTGATATATTCAAAATATAGAGAAAATTGTGAGCATATTAGAGAAAAATAGTCAAAATACAAAGAAATTTCAAACTAGAGAAATTTCAAAACATATAGAAATTTTGAAAATACAGAGAAAATCAGAGAAATCGAGCAAATCAAAAATTTTCAAAACATAAAATTTCTCTAGATCAGAATTGCTCTAGTTCGAAATTCTGTAAAAATGTTAAGAGATCCCAACTACTATAAAATTTTAATACAAGTGACCTTAAAAAAAATTCCCCGTCTGTCAAGTCTGATATTTATCTGCCCCTAGTATTTTCACATACCTCAATACAAAATTATAAACTCGATTATCTTTATAAATTATAATATTATGAAAATACTTGATAATGTCTTAAGATCACTTAATAACTCTCCACTTAACCAATAATGTTTTAGGTCTCCTTTGCAAGACGATTGTGACCAATTTAGTTCAATAAAAGATAAAATAAGTTAAAAAATTAATAAAATAAAATATTATATTCGAATCATAATTATTTTATTTTTTCACACAAAATTATATAAAAAAAAATTTATCTCAAACAACTTTTTTAATAATTAAATTAAAATAATTAAAAAACTAAACTAAAAAAATTGTTTTCAAACCAAAACTTAAGATCATTGAATAATTCCTCTGACTAGACAGAGCCACCTAACCAATGGCCACCGCTCGTGTCACCGGCTCTCACATGCGGTGGGGTCACTCACATGTGGGTGACGGATGGTGCTTAAATATGCGTATGCCGTGCCTCTCTATTTTTAATTTTTTTTTCTTTGGTCTTCCAAAGTCTTGCAAGATATAATAATAATAATAATATAATTATATAACCCACAAGTTAAAGTAGTGATTGGTACCATTAATTTTGAAGCACTAACAGTTTTAATAAATTGAAAGATAATAATAAAAAATATATATATAAGGTTAAAGTATTCCATCATATAAGATTTTTAAAAAATTGCTTATTTAAATAATCTTAAACACCCCCTTACTATCAGCGTGTTTAGAAAGTGACTATTTTAATTGATCTTTTAATATTTTACTAAAAAATGTGTAAAAAAATTTTAAAAAAAAAGTGAAATAAGGTTATTTTGAAAAGTTAGTTAAAAATTAATGTTTTAGTTTCTTTAAAAGAAATATATATAAAAATAAAAAGATAATATGACTCAAAAGAGATTAAAAGTTTAAAAAAAATATTTTTAACATCTTTGCCAAAAAAAAGCCCAAAAGAATTGAAGATATGATTAAAATATGACCCCCAAAAAATGTTTTGGTCAATTGAATTGATGTACTAACTAGTCCGACATGACCCCATAAACTGTCTGCTACATCGGTCTGACACGACCATACCGTGTCTCCTATCCTGTTTTATTTATCAGTTTATTTTTCTGTTTTGTAACTCTCTCCAAACTCAAGTTGGTTTGTGTCTAACCTCCTTGAGTTTGAGGGGGGCTGTTAAACCCACTAAACCTAACCCACTACTACCTACCACACACACTCACCTCCTCACCTAACCTACCACTACCACCTCCACTTCATCCCCTACCACTTCACCTACTACCTTCTTCTCTTCTATATATTTGATCATTGTAAACATAACAAAATATCAAAATACACAACAATCTTGTAATCAATAATATACATCAATTTATTTTACACTTATAATTCATTAAATTATAGATAAAATTATTTGCTCATTCAATTCTCATTAATTTTTAATAGACCAATTTACCTTTCCAAGACCTCCTCCATCTCTGCCAAACATTCCTTGTTGTCTTCATTCTCTCTCTCTTACTTGCACACGTACTCCCTAACAACAATAATAACCAAACATCCCATTTTCTCTCATTTGTTTTCTCTTTTTTTTTTTTGTAGTTTCAAACTCTCTCTCTCTCTCTCTCATATATAAAAAATGGAATCCAAATACACTCGAAGTGGTCAAATCATAATTTTTTACTCTCTCTCATATTCTTTCCCAAGGACCACTTCAATGGCTTTCGAAGAACAAAGCAGCCCCCAGACAATCTTCCTCTGGTTCTAATCCATCGAATCTCAACTTTCGAACTATCCTACAAATCATGGCTCCAAACCCGATTCCGCCACCTCGACTCGTTGGACCCCTCATTCTCCTCCCCACAGACCCAGTCTCTGGCCTCATCTGTACGGCTCCTCCTCTGCTTCGGTCTCTCCCCTCTCACCTCTGACACTCTCGATCGCTTCCCCTTCATCTATTACGTCGTCGGCTCCAACGTCGGCCTCGACCACATCGACCTCGCTGCCTACCATTGCTGTGGTATCACTATCACTAACGCCAGCGACGTCTTCTCTGCCGACGCCGCTGACCACTTCTTCCCTGAAATGAGTAATTTATTCTCACGGTGCGATTTTCAATGGTTGTGCAGAACTGAGAAATTTCTCAATTTTTTATAGTTTTAAAATTAAGAATATTATCAGTTTAAAACTGAAAAAAAATTATAATATTCTCAGTTTTAACAATAAAAAAAATTAAAAATTTTCTCAATTTTACTGGATATTTTTGCAAACTAAAATCATTCTCAATTTTAAATTGAGAACATTCTCAGTTTTGGAACTGAGAATGTCTCAACTCTTACCTACAAACCAAATCTCCAGGCCCATCTCTTTAGTCGATTTAATATGCTCTGTTCTGAACTTTGAAACAGATTTCAACTCAAAAAGCCTCAAACACAAATCTGTCAAATGCTGAAATCAATGTATGTATAATAGCGAATTAAACTGAGAAATCCTTCGAGATCCTTCGAAATTATATCTTCATCCATTTCCCATAACTGATTTGATTTTATTTTTAGTAAATAACGTTAATGTTGTTTTATATATATATATATATATAATTGTTTGGATTGAAGGGCAAAAATGTCTTCTTATCTATAAATAAGACTTATCGGTTCAAAAGCTTTTAGACAGGACCTAAGCTACTACCAAATATGTAGATAGGATTTTTAGGTAATTAATCCTAGATTTTATGATAATCTTTCAAAAGTTAACAAAAATGCTAGACACATTAAATAATTGTTAGAACAATTTTCTGCGTAAAATAAATAACTTGAAACCAAATCAAATAAATAAAAATAAATTACTTACAAAATTTATTTACTGAAATAAAAAATAATAAAAACGATCAAGTCGAGTGTGTGATACTCTGTCTTTAAGACAGATTCGCCCCACTTCGGTGCTTACGGATAAAAGGCGTCTATCTCCCAGGGTACAATGATCTACACAGAATGTAGTAACACTCCAAACAATCTGTACAGCAAACCAAAACTTGTGTTCTATACTCTCAAAATTTTTCCTAAAAAACTAATATGAAGAATAACAATGCAAGAGAGCAAAATTTGGAAAGCAATAAATGAATTTTCAGATTTTTCAGGATGCAACAAACTGCTGGAATGTGCTGGTATTTATAAGGCCAAACAGGTGTGAATTCAAACTAAACAGGTGCAGTTTTGAACGGAACAGGTGCAATTTAAATTTGAACAGATTGCTGGCAGTTTTGAATCTGTCCATAACTGCTATGCAGTTTTAAAACTATTAAAAAACAATTTGAACCTACTGGAATTGGACCGAAAAGGCACTGTATGGACAGGAAAAATTGAATTCAAATTTGGCAAAAATTTTGAATTAATTTTTTTTAGAAAAAATAATTTTCTTGCAAGAATTTTTAAAAAATTTTAAATAAATTTTGTCCAAAAAATTAATATTAGAACCGACCCGATCCACAACCCATACCCGTGCCTAGCACGTCTCGGCTCAGCTAGCGGTGGCGCGCACATGTATGATGGTTTAAGCCAAAGGTTACTTTGTCCATAACTCCTCATTTCTACAAACTTGAGGTGCACCTTAGAACTTATATACACATATAAGTTCTTTTAATTTTCCAATGTAGGATAACTATTTCAAGGAAACTCACATTTTACTTCTTTAATTGTCCATTCCACGAATCCGAAAACGACGTCAGCTTCTCATTCACTCATAAATGGTTTTGACAAACCGTCTTCGCTGTGTGACTTGCCATGCAACAAGGAACACATCACCTCTTTGGACCCACCCCAAAAGACGTATGGGCCCTACTCAAATTTGGACCCGAAGTTGGCCCAAAACAAACCTATAAAACTATAATTCCAACAATCCTCCACATGAATGGAATTTGATGGAGAGAAAATGCAACAACATAATCTAATTACAAAGAGTACAAAAAATGAGAACATTCTGCAAAGGATAGGTAGCTTTTGGCTTTAAACCTTCCCTTATGAGACATTATCAGATTTACTAGCTAACTAGTGAACATGATGTCTTGAACTGTTCAGCCATTTTGTGTAAACCAAGACAATAGAACTCATACAGTATATTACCAAACACAATTTAGTTCTCACTATTGTGTTTATTTTGGCCCTAAACAACATGGTCTTTTATGAGTGCTTTAGAAAATTGTAGCCCTTCATAAATCTCATGGAACCGGCCTAGTTCACACTTATATAGGTGATTCTTATGAAGAGTATCTTGCCATACTCCACTAGGTATTCCTAGATATAAGAATAATTAAAAGTATTACTTAACCTACAACGTTGCAGACATCACTATTTCATTATAGAAATGGGTAAGAGTTGGACTCCCCAATGATCCTTATGAGTCATACACAACTCGATTGTCCCTTTGAACCTAGATATTGGGATCTCTAGTCAACTAGGTTGGGTTGCTGTTGTGGTAACTCTTATTTAGTATGCTTAAGTCTCATTTCCCTCGATGAATTCTCAACGAACTCTCTTGTTAACCCTTTAATTAGTGGATCCGCTATGTTGTCTTTAGAATTCACATATCCAATGGAAATAATTCCATTACAGAGTAGTTGTCTCACAGTGTTATGTCGATGACAAATGTATCGTGACTTACCATTATACATATGACTCTGTGCTCTACCTATTATTGATTGACTATCATGATATATGCATATAGCAAGCACCAGTTTTGGTTACATTAGAATATCTTCAAGGAAGTGACGAAACCATTCTGCTTCTTCCCCAACTTTATCTAAAGCTATAAATTTGAATTCCATAGTAGACCTAGTAATGCAAGTCTGTTTGAAAGATTTCCAAGATACAACTGCCCCACCAAGAGTAAAGACATATCCACTAGTAGATTTTGAGTCTCTAGTATCCAATTTCCAGTTTGCATCATAGTATCCTTCAAGTACTGCTGGATATCTAGTATAATTGAGCCTAATATTATGAGTAAATCGAAGATATCTTAGAACCCTTATAATTGCTTTCTAGTGTTCTCCTCTTGGATTACTCGTATATCTACTTAATTTACTTACTGCATAGGCTATATCTGGGCGAGTGCAGTTCATCAAGTACATTAAGTTTCTAATAATTTGGACATACTATAATTAAGAAATACTTTCTTGTACATTTTTAGAAAGAAATAAATTAACATTCGCAGGTGTTTTAGTAAGATAATTATCATCTTTGCTAAATTTGTCAAGTATTTTATCAATGTAATGAGATTGTGACAAAGCATAACCTTCTGATATTTTGGTAATTTTCATGCCAAGTATTTACATCAATAATTCTCATGTTCTTTATGTCAAAATGTTTATTCAACATTTTCTTGATAGTTTTAATCATATCATTATTACTACCTATGATGAGCATATCATCCACATAAACACAGCAAAATAGTAGTAAAACTTGACTCAAGCACATATGAGTGGTAAACTAGCAACTTATCACATTGTCAATATCTATTGTTAAACTTGAAATATTTAAGAAAAAATAAACAATTAAGTGAATTAATTAAACTTTGTATTCAACCAACTTCATTATATATTTAGTATATATTATGTTTAATATGTGAAACTTTCGGTCGGTTTCAATTTAATTTGGTACACAAGATGCCTAAACTGGTACCAAACAGAAAATTTTAAAAAATTAATTTTAAAAACCGAACAAACCAATTTATACTAAAAAATGGACCAAATATAGCCAGTTTGGTTCGATTCAGCCAGTTTGGTTGATTTTTTCGATTTTTCTTATATTCCTAAAACTTATACTAAAAATTAATTTGGTAAAAAATAAAAAAATAAAAATGTAAAAGATTTATCATTTTATATAATTTTATCTTTGATAGGTAAAAATAATTTTTAAAAATTTAAAAATAATTTTTTGACATTTATTTTTATGAAACTAGTTTATATTTTATCAAATTAACGACTTTGTCATTAAAATAGATCAACAGTATCTTTAATTGTCTTTATTTAAAATTATATTCAAAATTTAAAATCAAATATATCACAATTAAAAGAGTAGAGACTAAAATAACATAAGTCTTAAAATGCAAAGACAGTTAGTGTAATTTGTTATAAAAAAATAAAATATATATTTAATTTAAAAAAATTACAAGAGTGTCAGTGCAATTTACTTTTTCTAATTCGTGTCGACCACGCGTAGTCGATGACGATTCTCACACAACTCTAAAATAAAAAAATAAAAAATGGGGACCAAAGTTGAGAGCTGAAATAGTAATACAGAAAGCAAAGTGATAAAACCAAAAACGAAAAGGAAAAGACCCCAAAAATAAAACAAACCCTAACGCCTTCCTAGGCGGCTTGTCCAGTCTTATTTGGAAATATATGTTCAAAGAATGATGCATTCCGAGATTCAATAATAGTATTTACATGTATTTCGGAATGTTTTGACTTATGAATCAAAAACCGATATGCACTACTATTCTTGGCATAACCAATAAATATGCAATCAATAGTTTTAGAACTTATCTTAGTCTTTTTAGGACTAGAAATAGCCACTTTAGCCAAACACCATCACATTTTTAAGTATTTGTAGGATGGTACTCTTCCATGCCACATTTCATAAGGTGTTTGATTCACTTTCTTTCAGGGTATTTTATTTAAAATATAATTAGTAGAAAGTATTGCTTCCCCCACAAATTCTAAGGTAATTCAAAACTTATTAACATAGCATTCATCATTTCTTTTAAAATCCTATTTTTCCTTTCAGCAATTCCATTTTGCTGAGGTGAGTAAGGAGCAGTAGTTTGATGAATTATTTCATGTTCTTTACAAAACTTACCAAAAGGTGGTTCATATTAACCACCTCTATCACTTCTAAGTTTTTTAATTTTCTTATCAAGTTGATTTTCAATTTCATTCTTATATTGAATGAAAGTTTCCAAAGTTTCATCATTGGTTCAAATTAAATAAACATTATTATATCTAGTATAGTCATCTATAAAAG